TGAGTAATATATTTGATTTTATTCATTTATTTAATCTTAATATATTTTTTATTCTTTTATAGTTGCAAATACAAATTGTATCTAGCTGAATTATCTACTGTAAATTTGTTGACAGAGTATTTATTTTTAAAATATTAGTTATTTTTATTAATAGGTTAGTATTATTATTCCTACTCGTGATGAACATTTACCAACATTACTTCGATCAATACATAGTATATTAAATCGAACACCAGCAAAACTTTTAGAAGAAATCATTATTGTAGATGATGCAAGTGGCAAAGGTAAATGTATATGAGGAAGAAAGTTAAGTTTTAAATAAATCTTATTTATATATAGAGGAATTGAAAGCAGCACTTGATATTCAAGTTGCTAATTTAACAAAGACACGTATAATTCGCCTTCATAAACGTGAAGGTCTTATTCGTACAAGGTTAGCTGGTGCACGTGAAGCAAAGGGTGAAATACTCATTTTCTTTGATTCACATATCGAAGTTAATATCAATTGGTTACCACCATTAGTCGAACCGATCGTATTAAATTATAAAACAAGTGTTTGTCCATTTATTGATATTATTAAATGGGAAAATTTTGCTTATATTGCTCAAGATGACGGTTAGAAAATTTCATCATATTTTGTAAATGAAAGAAAAATCATTTTTCTATTTTCAGGTGCTCGTGGTGCTTTTGATTGGAGTATGTATTATAGACGATTACCTTTATTAACTGAAAATGTACAAAAACCAACAGAACCATTCGAGTAAGACATTGAAATTCTTTATTTTTTTTTAAATGCCCTTCTTTCTAGCAATCCAGTCATGGCTGGTGGTCTTTTTGCAATTAGTAAAAAATGGTTTTGGGAATTAGGTGGTTATGATGAAGGTCTCGATGTATGGGGTGGTGAACAATATGAAATGTCATTTAAAATTTGGCAATGTGGTGGACGACTTGTCGATGCTCCATGTTCAAGAGTTGGTCATATTTATCGACAATTTAATCCACATGGTAGTTTTTCATTTGGTGATTATTTATCAAGAGTAAGTATGAATGAATGTCAATTTAAGGTTTCTTAGAAGAGTATTCTTTTTTTGCTATATAGAATCATAAACGAGTAGCAGTTGTTTGGATGGATGAATATGCTGAATATGTTTACAAACGAAATGGACATATGAGGTAGAATTTTGTTCTTAGGATAATTTGATCTATCATTTATTTAGAACTGTAAACCCAGGCAATGTCAAGAAACAACTTGAACTACGTAAAAAACTGGAATGTAAACCATTTAAATGGTATAAGTGTTACTTTTTTTTTTGTTATGTTAATGATAAACTTATTTGTTGTATTTTTTGTATATGATAGGTTTATGGAAAATATTGCATTTGATTTACCTCAATATTATCCACCTGTTCCTTTACCTCCGTATGCTACGGGAGAAGTAAAGAATATATATTTTTTTGATAATTTCTAGTTGATTTTTGTTATTTATTTAGATTCGAAGTATGAATAATTCTCTATGTATTGATACTAAACATGCTAATGAACATGCAACATTTGGTCTTGATCTATGTCTCAGAGATCATCAAGGTCGTAGTGGTGAACAAGTAAAATCGATAACTAATTAAAAGATGATATTTGTGAAACACGAATTAAAAGGAGTGTCGAAGTATATAGAGTAGAAGCTTTCATCCTCGCTCCCTTTACCACAGACCGTGGCAGACGTTGTTGATATACGATTGTTGACCGTATATCGCCAGTAACTCGTTACAATATATTGACTATTTTCTTAATGCATCTCGAGATGATTAAGTACAAGAAGAGTGAATTATAATTTCACATGGATTGCGCTAATAGCTATCTATTTCATATGAATTATTCTGTTTTTTCTAGGATTTTGAGCTTGGGTGGCGTCAAGATATTCGACCAAAAGGTCGTGAGTTATGTTTTGATGTACCTCAAAGAAGCAAACGCACATCGATTGTGCTATTTGCTTGTCACGGTAATGCTAAAATCAATTTTTATCTGTTCAGTTTCATTTTGTTGCAAATATCAATAGGTATGCGTGGTAATCAACATTTTGTATATGATATTAATAATTATCATATTCTACATGTAGCAACACGTTTATGTTTGGATTGTGATTTAGAAAGTAGACAAGTTTTTATGGAACAATGTAACACAAAAAGTAACACTCAACGATGGATTTTTTCTTCCTATAATGAAACATTAATTTCCAAAGATTTCCAAGAATTTTTTTGATAATAGGGAATATTTTTTATAATAATTCTGTGATATATTTTATCATTTTCTTTGTTTCTTTTTTGATAACACATGATACATGTGCGATGTTAAACACATATAGGACTAATAAAATAATTTTTTTTTTGTTTTTGGTTAAAAAAAAGAGATACGTTTACGGATGATAGACAATGGTTATCAATAATTTGCACCAAATATAATATGATATGTGTTATATGGCTGAGCGATAACAAATCGATATTTATGAACAAGCATTGCATATAAAGTATGCACATTTATTGATACATATAGCTATTTCTAAACCAATAAGAACGAACAAGAGAAAACGTTCACCTCTCTAGCCGCAACATTGTTTTTCCCTATTCTATTCATCGTCATTGTTGCTGATATTCAATACATATAAGTATGCATCGTCATTTTTTTTTTTCGTTCAACAAAAGTTCATCCATATTCTTTTCTCTCTCTCTCTGTTTCGCTCTGTGTCGTTAAACGAAACTTGCGTCAGTCAGTTTGAACGTGTATGACCTGAGCAATCATGACAAGACTTCTTCTTGTCAAGTCAGATGTTTATGAATTAGGAGAAATTATTGGACAAGGTGCTTATGGGTAAGTATTTAGTAAATGTCAAAAGAAGTTTTCGTCTATATAATTTGTTTTTCTGTAGATGTGTATTTAAAAGTCGAAATGTAACAACCAATGAAACTGTTGCTATTAAAAAGATGACTATATTGCGTACTCGTGATGGTTTACCAACTTCAGTAATTCGTGAAGCTGCTTTATTAAAACGTGTTGGGAAAGTTGATCATGACAATTTAATTAAGTATATATGTTTTAACATTTTATTTTATTTTTAAATATTCATTTGTTTTGATAGATTAAAAGAAGTATTCAATGAACAAGCAAGTGTTGATCGACAGAATATTTATTTTATTTTTGAATATGTTGAACGTGATCTTGAACGTTATCTCAAAATGCATAGTCCTTTAGATATTAATCAAATTCGAGTTTGTAATTTTTCTCGATTAAATAGTTTTCATTGTTCTGCTATTTAGAATCTTACTCAACAATTGTTAACAGCTGTATCGGTTCTTCATAGTCATTCTATTTTTCATCGCGATATTAAACCTCAAAATATTCTTGTTACTAATAATGGTTAGTTTATAAAACAAAAGTTAGATAAATAAAAGAATAAATTTATTTCGTATTTTTTTTCTTATAGACATATTAAAACTCGCTGATTTTGGTCTTGCTCGCGAATATCATGAACATAAAGTGTTTACCACTGTGGTGAGTTATTAAATTTTTTCACATCCATCTGTTTGAATCTATCTCAAAAATTTAGGTTGTAACTATGTGGTATCGAGCACCAGAAATTCTTTTGTCATCACCATATTGTACATCAGCTGATATGTGGAGTGTTGGATGTATTCTTGGTGAAATGGCATTAGGTCGACCATTGTTTGCTGCCAAATCAGAGAGTCGTCAATTACGTCGTATTATTCTGTAAGATAGGAATTTCTCACATGAACAAGTATAGAAATGAAACTAATATAAATTTTCTACAATGTTTTAGTTTGATGGGTCTACCAAACGAAGATGAATGGCCACAAGATTCTCCGATTAGAAGAGAAGCTTTTGAAAATTATTCTCAACCAATTATTACACTCGAACGACTTATTCGTTTTGAAGATAGTTGTGCTTTTGAATTACTTCGAGTAAGTTGGTTTTTTATTCTTCTATTTGTATATTTGAAATATTCCTTTATATTTTATTAAATATCAGTCATTACTATCATTCAAACAAAGTCTTCGTCCAACGGCTATTCGAGCTCTTGAACATAATTTTTTTCGTCGAACTGATCATACTTTATGTACAGTAACTTGGTCTTCGGCTGATATAGCCGAAGCTACAGCTGCTGTACCCAATCTAGATGCGTATACAGATGGCGATTTTAAATTTAATAACGATGATGATCAAAAAATTGAAAATATTCGTTCAAGAACCAATTCTATAGATGCTGGTTATTATTATCAATCGTGGTCATCTCCCGATGATGGTCAACATATGTTAACAATAGATAGTCATATAAGCAGTGTTGGGGGTGATGTACCTCAATCGCCTATTGATATCGTTTCCTGGTGGTCGGATAGTCCATAATGAAAGTTTTTTTTTTTTGTTTTGTATAGTTATTTTTTTCTTTGAAATATATAGAAAGATATGCTAGAACAATTATGATTATTAGTTTCAACAATAAAGTATGGAAATTAGAATTATCTGATCATTTATCATTATTGGGGAATAAAAAAAATTTGTCATCACTTATTCATTTCGATATGTACTCATTGTATATATTCAATTTCTTATTTGATGGTTTTTTTTCTTTATAGATTTGAGAACATGAAAAAAACAGATGTTTAAATTTATTGAATAAGATATTTTCAAAAAAATTTTTCTTTTTTGTATGAAAAAGTCGATTTAGATCTTTTTTATTCTCGATTTAATTTTCATTGATAATTAATGTTGTAATGACGACGAACTTTTATGACTATTACCCACTTCATTATTGTTCAGATCTTCTCAATGATGTCACACGACATGACCAACAAAAAAAACAGACAGACAGAAGAATCACATCGATAATAAATAATAGTGTTAACATGTAGGGAAGAAAAAAAGATTTCTATACAAAAATTTTCAATGTGAAGGTGAAATTGATGATTTTTCATTTATGACTTTGTGAAAATTAATGACAAATGATTGGTGAAGTTGTTAAATGCCAAAAATTAGAAATTCTTGTAAATTTTAGATGAAAACTTTTTTCTAAATTGTAATCAACAGAATATAGTACGTCACGCACGCACACAATACAACCAGTCAAGTTGAAGGTGAAATCTGTGATCAAAAAAGTTGTTGATTTTTGGCATTTTTCTTTCGATCTTTAATCATCAAAGCAGAATGATCAACTCATGAAGAAAAATGTTATTATAATTAATCCAAACTAAAGATGTGTAGGGCACAAACACTATAACCAATAGGTGTATGTATATAGAAGTCAATCAACTGAAGTATTGACTATGGGAATATAATTTCATTGTATTTTGAGATTATAATAATCGTTCTTTTGTTCACTTAAGATTAAAATCTATCGAATGCTTTTCAATTTGATGTGTAAAATTTCAATATTTCTTTCAACTAAAACAAAAAAACAATATTTCGTACAAGAACAGATTTTCTTTCCATTATTTTTTCTTATCATAAATAAGCGTGTCTCAAACGAAAACATCATAATATTGTTTGTCATTTAATCTATTACAGAAAGAACAATAAGGTTTTCACTATTTGATCAAAGTATACTGTTTTTTTGTTGTTTGTGTATATAATTTCGCTTTGCATATTTTTTTCTAGAAAATAATTTGTTGTACACAAAAATCTTTCATCAGAAATTCATCAAGTTAATAATTGGTTCTTAATTCATTTTATGATTTGATGTTCAAGTCAATTTAATAAATTTTTTTTCTGAAGAGAAATGAGCAACTTTTATCGTTTTCGTAAATGAGATTCATTATTTTAAAATCCTTTTTATAATTGAATTAATAATCAAGTACAAAAAATAGAAATAAGAAATATTTTATTCTTAGATTCTATCAAATCTATACTGATAGTTAAAAATATAAACATCAATTGATTATGTTATACATGAATCAACTTAAAATAATTATTGAAATGAATTGAAATTATTTTCAATATTTCTAACATTCTTCTCTTACTAAGTATGGAAGTCTTTTTTAATACATTATTTAATTACGACCAATAATTCTTTATGTAATAAACTTTGTACTTTATTGAAAGATTACTATAGATTGGAGTTTTTATAGATAATTTCTGTAATATAATTGTTGATTGATGTAACAGAATGTTAACATGATTTTTTTCATACAGTATTTTTAACATCCAAAAAATTATCTTATCGTTGTATTTTTGAGTTGAAATAGAAAATTCCAATGAATTTAGAAAAACTCAAACTTTCTCTTATTTATCATCATGTGTCATAACTCTAGTTCAAATTATTTGTATGATATTTTTCTTAAATTATGTTGTTTATCTTGGTTGACCATATTAAGATTACAAGATTTTCAACTTTGTCTGAAAATTGAGTAGTATCGAACTAGAAAAAAATATAGGCATCGTGTTAGACAAGATGACTCGTACGTTATATGTCTAAAGATTACGTGCATTGATGCATTGCATTGTGATTTATACATTAGTTCTTTGTGCTCGGTGCAAAACAAAACACTTTTTATAGTATCATTTGATGGCAGATCTTCATCTCTATATATACATAATCGATTAAGATTTCATTCTTTTTTTAATCTATTACTTTCGTTGAAATACAATCAAAAGTATTAATAACTTACAGATTTCAATAAACGATAATTTTCTTTATCTGTTGAAAATCAAGCACAATAATTCAAGATGAATCTTAAGGTATCCCATGATGTTGGATAGTCTATAGAAATCATATCGGAATCTAATTGATGAAATCTTTACAGGATCGTATGGTTTGAATTCGATGCATATGTGACAAAATTTAACCGTAAGATTTTGTAGGACGCACGAAAGTGAGATTTCTACGAGATTTCTACTATTAGATTTCATTAAAATCCTTCCAAAATTCAGTCGAATTTCAACTCTAAAGATCTAAAGGTAGTTTTGATAGCTGTATACTGCTAGGATTTGATGAAATACTGTAGAATCTTAAAAGACTTGATAAGATCCGAAGATTGGATTGTTCAATCTAGATAGGTTCCTTCCTACTAAACTTTGAAACGAAATTGAATCTGGTTTGACTGTAATGTGATTGACAAATTTTAGCAAGATTTTAGAAACTCTTTGCTTACAAACCAGATAGCTCTATAAAAATAGATGTGAATAGTTCTCATGCAACAACTGTAAATACTTAAAAACTCGAATATATTAATATGAACTCCCCATAAAAAGCTCATATTTTGAATTTATTAGTTCAAGTGTGAGATTGATCATTTGATGAGAACATAGTCAAATTTCTTCATTTACGATTCAAAAAGTTTCATTATGCGTAAATTATCACTAATGAAGAGTTTTATTATGCATACGATCTGAAAGATTTTGAATATGATATAGAAAACAAGAACAAGTTTCATCTAGTTGTTAGACTAGATTATTTTTCTGTTTTCAATCTTCTGCTTTTACTCATCTTAAGTAAAAATTCTTTAATTCTAATAAATGCATGTCTGGCACTTAGCTATATAATCAGTATTTTTAATTAGATTATCTATGTACGACGAGTTTTGTGTTTTACGGTCATGAGATGAACATTTTGCAGACTTTATTTTTATAGGTAATTGTTATCTCTCTGAATGCTATCGTTTCATTGATGTTATCATAAACAGTTTAAGTTATGATTGTGAAAATATATTAAAATGAAATAAAAATTTTCATTGCAACGTTAGATAATTAAACACTAATTTAACTAGGATCATCGATTTTTTCCGATGTTCATTGTTGAAAAAAAAACAAAAGGTTTAATAATTAGTAATGCATAAAAAAAACCATGTTGTAAATTTAAGGTTTTAAAAATCAAAAGAATTTTCTTATATATATGAGTCAATTGCAACTTTATTTTACCTTTGCTTTTTTAGTGAATTTTCATTATAACTCTGGCTGTTGTGAACCAAATTTCAAATTTTTTTATTTTATTTTACTCCTTTCACTTCGTCTTACTACCACAGAAAATTTCAGCGCAGTGGCTGATTGCTTCCTTGAGCTAAACGTGTCTTAAGGCAAAAAAACACATTTTTTCAATTAGTTGTTCCAGGGAAAATAGAATTTTTGGGAAAGGAAAGGAAAGAAAGAAAAATGTAAATAAGCCATTTTGTAGAGCACGTGAGGAATTATCGAAGCATATATTTCATTTGTACATTTTCTCTCTTTTTCCTACTCATTTGTCTTCAAAACTACCCAGGTCCACCAATCCGATAGCGGATCCGATCGGATCTCATGGGATCCGACCAGCCGACAAAATCCAACAGGATTCCGTGTAACGGAATCGCTAACGGATCCGACGGTCGGATCCTAATGGAATTCCGATCATATCCGACTATGGGAACTGATAGGTATTCCGGCAGCCGGATTATGTCGGAAACCGTGTAATGTGGAAAATTACACTTCCGTCAGATTTTGTCGGAAAATGTCGGACTCACTTCTGATTGGCTGGGCAATAGCCAATCAGAATTCAGATACAATTTTACCTTATTTTGATAGAGATTAATCACAGTCATCCCCTTATTATAGATATTTCATACGGTTCTATGTAATTTTCAAAGCACACAGTTCTACTTCCGGCGGACTTCATCGGAAATTGTAGGATTTTACTTTTGTGTTAAAGAATAATGAATAGGCATCCCTGAACGATAGATTTTCTTTTATTTTATAACGATATCTTCAAATATAAAGCACTACTTCCGTCAGATTTCATCGGAAATTCTAGTACTTTCCTCTGCCGTCGGATTTCATTCGATAGAGCGTCCTCGATAACCATAGGATCGGCCCGAACATGACTATATGTTGTCCTTATAATAAGCAAGAAAAATCCTCCTGAAATCCGATTGGTCCATTTTATTGACCAATCAGATTGGGAGATTCTAGTTCTCAGCTATGGAAAAGGTGGGGCCCCATACATATACCCCTCATTCGATAGAGCGTCCTCGATTACTGTAGGACCGGCCGAACATGACTAGTACTTGCGCTTACCATAAGACAGAAAAGAGCTCCTCAAATCTGATTCGTCGAAAATAGACCAATCAGATTCGAGACAATGTCACCTCTCATTCACCGTTTTGTTTTGTGCCACACACAACTATATATATGGCAGTGAATCCGATGACCTCATTGTCACACCATATTCTCCGCAGCGACCTAAGTACTTCTCACAAGCATCCCTCCGATATGCTTGAGATTCTATTTCTCGCTGATGCTCACGATGGAGACTAGGGGTCCACAAGCTCAGCTCACGCTCAAAAATAATGAGCTGTTGAAAAAGTTCACTGAGACGAACTGAACTGCTCGAACAGCTCATTTGAACGAACTAAGCTTTTTCAAACAGCTCATTTCAAATGAGCTGAACTGTTCGAACAGCTCATTCGAACGAACCGAACTTTTTATAGGGGTACCCATAGGTCCTCAAGGGCTCTCCTATAGGGGTACCCATAGGACCCACAGCTCCGAACCCTACTGTCCTCAAGGGCTATCCTATAGGGGTACCCATAGGACCCCCAGCTCCGAACCCTACTGTCCTCAAGCCCTACTATACGTTGGTATCCTAGGGTCCTCAAGTCCTATTTTTGAAAAACAATTTTTTTTCAAAAATTTTTTTTTATACAGAAAACGACTCTTTGAGAAAAAATAAAATTTTTGTGGAACACCCAAAATTTTTATGAAAAAAAGTTTTTTTTTTCAAATATTTTATTTTTTCTCAAAGAGTCGTTTTCTGCATAAGAAAAATTTTAAGACGATGTTTTTTTGACCTTTGACCTTTGACCTTTGACCCTGACACAAACCAACAAACGGACGCATTTTTTTTCATATGACCCTCCCTTCAGTGGAGGGAATAAATATTATATTTGTTATATCTAAATGTTTAAATGCAAAGATATGCTTCCGTCGGATTTCATCGGAAATTGTATGATTTCATTTTTCTGTCAAATAAGAAGGAATAGCCATCCTTGGGCTGTAAATCTTATATTTTTTATATCTAAATCTTTAAATACGAAGGTGTGCATCCGTCGGATTTCATCGGAAATTGTAGGATTTCATTTTTCTGTCAAACAAGAAGGAATAGCCATCCTTGGGCTGTAAATTTTATGTTTTTTATATCTAAATGTTTAAATACAAAGATGTGCATCCGTCGGATTTCATCGGAAATTGTAGGATTTCATTTTTCTCTCAAACAAGAAGGAATAGCCATCATTGGACTGTAAATTTTATATTTTTTATATCTACATGGTTGAATACAAAGATATGCATCCGTCAGATTTCGTCGGAAATTGTAGGAGTTTAGCTTTTTTTTCTGTTTGAAAGAACAATGTTCTACTTCCGTCGGATTCGCTTTGGAAATTGTAGGATCCTATCGGTTCGGTCCGATCGGATTTTGCCGGACGCCGATAGTGGGATCCGAGCGGTTCCGTCCCGTAGGATTTTATCGGTCGCCGATGGTGGGATCCTATCGGATCTGGAATCCGACAGGATTCGTATGCGTTTCCGTTTCACGGAATCCGTTGAGATTCCGATAGGATCCTCTGGGATCTTATAAATTCCTATGGGATCTGATC